AATTAATTTTCAAATTGATAAGCTCTGTTTTACAGCTTCCAATAAATGACTAACTACTTCATTTCTCAGAATGTCCGAAGCACAGAAATCACGCACTGACATTATTAAGTGTGAAAATAATTTACATAATGCCCATTATTTTTGTGGGCCTAGAAGGGTTGGTTCCGGCTCAGTTAATTCAAAAAAATCGATTTAGGCAGAAAAACATGAATTGCATTAGAATTTGCGACAAATAAGCAATTACATACATCTCACTCTGAAATGGGTCTACATATTAGATTGCACCCCATCAGCGTAGAGGCTAAAAGCACGGTCGCCTCTGCGTCTTTGATGTGCAATGTATAATTTCATTTCTATAAAACATCATGCTCTGTCTCCCTGCATCCTAATCGATCTCAGATTCCAAACAGACTTGCCAGTGTGGCGATGTCTGTGGCCGATCTAATGTTGCTTCAAGGTCATTCGATGCATCACTAAACTTGTCTCCAAATGCCTCCTCGTTCTCCAATGGTGTGGCATCCACATTCAAGCTGCAACCAATTAACGCTAATGATAACCACCGCACGGATATCTTTACGTTCATCTACAAAATTACACGGAGCGATTCCTCTCTTTTTCCTCTTATTTACTATCCTTCCTCCGGAGCTCAATTGAGAAGATGATGTTCCATGCAGAGATGCATCAAGGCTGCATGGTATTTTGGTGAGGACTGCAATCAAATCGATTAATCAGTGAAAAGGACAAGCTTGTGATTTTGATGCAATTCACACTCGGGAAGAGTTGAAGGTGGCATGCCCCATCTCCTTGCTTTTGGCTAATTAGTTCAACCGAAACAAATCTGATTGCAGCCTACTCATTCCGCAATGCCCCTCCGAACTGCCCGAGCATCTTCGCATGCTGCACAAAGAAATGGCTCATTAATCAAAATAGGATCTTTATTGTAAGTGTGTGTGCGTGTGTGCGGTTAAACACGTCTACAGGCAACCTTGCAAATTCTGCGAGAACAAACGCGAACGCATATTATGCCGCGTCTACTGCGCGCAGGAGCCAAAACACCTTCAAACAACCCAGTCTCCAGCTCCTCAGCATCTGCCTTCAATTCACTTGACCTCTTCTCATCCTCCTCCTCCGCCTGCTCTTGCATCGCCTCCTGCTCTTCTGGTCCTTCCAATTTCAGACCCTCACTCAGACCCTCCTCGTCATCGGCTTCCAGAATCTCGTAGGCCGGTGACGCCTGGCACACGAGAGCGTGGGCAACAGCAAATAGCAGTACCAACGACAGGCTGGCCATGATCAGGTAGGTTGCAATGTGGGTTCACACTCCGTCGGTCTGCGATTTGACTTAAATAGACCATCTTGCATGTGGGCGTGCCTCCAATTGCGTGCGGACTTCATTATCGACACAGCTATCGGGGGCGTAATTGTAAACTGGATGATGGCCGATGTACCTCCTGAGTTTGCACATAGATGACAATCGTTTACGCTGATACTGCGTTGGCGTTAGGGCCCTACTCTCAGCCTGAAGTGAAGAGCGCTCAGCGAAACACTGGCTGTCTGTTCTAAAATATGGCCTTGCTCTCATATAATTAAGTCCATTTTTGGAAATGTTCTGTGCATGTTTCTCCAAAAGTTCAGTGTCATCTCTGTTGTGCGCGAGAGAATCATTGGGGTCCAGTTTGTATTTTTAAATTTTCATTTGCAGTCTGTCAAGTAAATTTAGCTCAGTTAGTGTTCTGCTGTCCGTCTATTACTTTTTTGTATTTTTTTCTCAGTTTTCTTCCATTTGGGCCAAAATATGATTTATTCCGCTACTTATATTTATTGCGTTATCCGTGAGGAGATCCGGCATCACCATATTCTCATTCATTGGGGATTTCTTACAATTAAACTGTCTCTGTGACTAGACAAAGCGGTTTACCGTTCATCGTTTGGAAAACGTTGTTTGCTTTCATCCGCATATTTCGTCCTCTGACGAGCACCTGGCCAACTGTTTTTCAGTAGGCATATGAGCTGGCCGATTTTTGCCTTCGTACCGAACTTTGGTATTCAAATGACGGCATCGGTGGTGAGGTTTAGCCTTGCGAAGGCTTGCATATGATTGATTCGGCTGCCACATCAGGGACATGTTCATAGAGGAAAAAGCATTCTCTTCCAGATAGCCTGGTGTGTGCTGACACATAGACCGAAGCTGTCTAAGAAAACAAGTTTGTGAAAATTTAACAAAGTCACAAATACGTGGAGGTCGTCATAGCGCTTTTCCATCATATCGTCAAGGTATGTCATCGGAAGTGGGATCGTAGATGCAGTCAATCGCGGGTATCTTTTTCCGCGCATTATCACCGCAGCAATCTGTGGCGGTGGGACGGAGGGGATGAAGAGGCGGTTTGTTTGTGTTTGGTTGTTTCGACAAATGTCACGACAGACTTACCTACCTCTCTGCTACCTTCGTTAACCTGACCACCGCCTATGGTACGAGGATCGTGAGGGATACGTTGTTACCTCTTTCCTGGCTGTAGATGTCAGAATATACTCCGATTTCACCGAGACCTTTGTAGATGCGTAGCGAGGCATCACGGGGAAAGTATCATCCCTCGCGAATGGATGCACGGTTTGTTTGGGATAACTGCGCACAGGCCGACAAGAAACTAATGTTGAACCAGGTGCATGAAAAGGACAGGCTCTTTTCATTCCGTTTGATTAAGATAGATGATCATTATTTCTGCTTGTTTCCAATGCTGACCTCTTTTATTAGAGCATTAGAATAAAATAACTGAACATCACTGGCAATTGGAAATCGAGTTTGTTTCATCTGTTTTGCGTAAATTGAATTCTCTCTGTTGCAACACCCATTATTCCTATGAAACAATGTTTTGTGGGTTAGTTCAACGTAGTATGCAGAAATGAGATGTGCGTTTCGAATGACTGCCTTGTCAGGGAACTGCATCATACCCGATTTTCTGGAAAGGAAGCACTGAATCACCTCTACATTGAAAAAATATTTTTGGTCCTCGATTCCCTGCGCTAACATCACTGCTGCAGTCAGATTCTAACCGTGATATGGATAGCCATCGATAGTGTCATACGTCTAAATGATGACGAGCTACGTACTAAATGATATATAAACCACATTCCTCTGCGTGCTCGTTCAGCAATGGGGAAAGTTGTGGTAGGGAATTATCCGCACACCGGATACGTGCACATGTCACCTACGCGACTTTGAATATTTCGATGCCGACGAATTGACAGATTCACGGAATCATGGATTTTCGTAGTTCAGTTAAAAGTTTGGTTGCTGATTATGGCATTCATGCCAGATGTGCCCATGAGATCCATAGCATCAGTGATAGTCGGTGCGTTTGAACAACGATGAAAGCTCCCTTGTATTGGACAGCCTCTGTTTACCACAATCCTAGAGATTTGTTTAGCTTACTACCAGCAACAACGCTCTGCATTGGTAATATCCTGCTGCTCCTAAGCAAGATTTTCGATGAGCTCTCTACACCTCAGTGAGAACCTACCGCCAACGCAGTGTCAGCAGTATCACAGAAGAAATCGCCTGGACAGAGGGTTAGTGGGGACTGCTTGTAGATTCTTGTGTACGCATTTCCTCAGAAGTAAAGTTTTTTCATGCCCCTTCCGACTTCCGTCTCTTATGATTTCTGTGCTGTCGACAACAGCATCTCGACGGATTTAATGGCACCCTACTTATCTGATGCATGAGTAACCTCATATGGAATTACCAGTGTCTGCATTCCCCATGTCCGATTCGCCTTCTGCAGTAAGTCCTCCGCACAAAGTCATTCATTTCAGATATGTCCACTGAGATCTATAGCATCCAAGTTAGTCGGTACGTTTGTACACTGGCAAAAGCCCCTTTTAATCATGGTAGAGGACGGCCACTGGTTAATTCACTCCTGCAGATCTGTTTGGTTTAACACTTGAATCCACGGTCAGATGTGCTGAAATCCTCCAGCTGTTGACCCATGCTGATGCATTCAGAGTAGACCACGTGCGACTTGTCACTAGCCTCGCGAAAGCTCGAAGACAACCAACATTGCCCCTTCGCTGATTGGCCAACGGACGTCAACAGGGACAAAGCGAAAGCGCACACACATTGGGGGTTAATCACCTCGACGGCAGTCGCAGAGGAAATCGCCTGGAGAAACCGTAAGCTGGGACTGCTTGTAGATTCTTGTGTATGCACTTCCTCAGAATAAAGGGTTGTCATGCCCAGTCCGCATTCCGTCACTTCTGATTTGGGAATGTCTGTGTTGTTGACCACAGCATTTCGGCAGAATTTATGGCACCCTAGCGTATTTGAGGCGCCAGATGCCCAATGCCGATGCATTTAAACCTGGTGTGTTGTGGTGCGGCGGGAGAAGGCAAGTGAGCCGTGTGCAGTAGGCATAGGCACGCTGCTTGGCTTTGTCGGCCATTGAAAGCGATCGCAAAATCGGAATAGGATACTCGAAAGGTGCACGTGGAAACGAGGAAAGGGTGTGGTAGACTATGCGTATACAGTCCCAGGGCAAGTCAGCGCATTCCTAATTCTATGCTATCTAAGGCGATTAGATCCATCAAGGTAAACTAAAAGCCATAGCTAGGAAGGCTGCCACCTGACGGAAAAACTGAGTCCTCCTATCATGACTGACAGCGAGGCTGCAAACGTATCTTCTTACTGTGGACTCTAGGACACTCCCAATCAATTGGATCCGAATTAACCAACCTTCCTTGTTGAGTGAAGGCGTTGTCAAGTGTGCGCGGAATAGGCCTATGTGATACACGTAGACAAGCCAGTGAGGGCCTAACGCCTATGTTCAAGCTCAGGAGGTACACCGGCTACCATCCGGTTTACAATTACGCCCCCGATAGCGGTGTCGATAATTAAGTCCGCACGCAATTGGAGGCCCGCTCACATACAAGATGGTCTATATAAGTCAAATCGCAGACCGACAGAGAAGGACGTGTGTGAGTGAACCCACATTGCAAACTACCTGATCATGACCAGCCTGTCGTTGGTACTGCTGTTTGCTGTTACCCACGCTCTCGTGTGCCAGGCGTCACCGGCCTACGAGATCCTGCAAGTCGCTGACGAGGAGGGTGTGAGTGAGGGTCTGAAATCGGAGGGAGCAGAAGAGCAGGAAGCGGTGCAAGAGCAGGAGGAGGAGGAGGATGAGAAGAGGTCAAGTGAATTGAAGGCAGATGCTGAGGAGCTGGAGACTGGGTTGGTTGAAGGTGTTTTGGCTCCTGCGCGCGGTAGACGCGGCATATTATGCGTTCGCATTTGTATTGGCAGAATTTGCAGAGTTGCCTGTAGACGTGTTTAACCGCATCGACACTTACAATAAAGATCCTGTTTTGATTAATGAGCCATTTATTCTTGCAACATGCGAAGATGCTCGGGCGGTTTGGAGGAGCATTGCGGGATGAGTAGGCTGCAATCAGTTTTGTTTCGGATGAACTAATTAGACAAAAGCAGGGAGAAGGGGCATGCCACCGTCAACTCTTCCCGCGTGTGAATTGCCGCAAAATTAAAAGCTTGTCTTTTTCACTGATTAATCCACTTGATTGCAGTCCTCGCCAAAGTACCATGCAGCCTTGATGCATCTCTGCATGGAACGTCATCTTCCCATATGAGCTCCGGAGGAAGGTTAGTAAAGAAGACGAAGGAGAGTGAACTTACTCCGTGTGATTTTGTAGATGAACGCAAAGATATCCATGCGGCGGCGATCGTTAGCGTTCATCTGTTGCATCCTGAATCTGGATGCCATATTATTGGAGGAGGAGGAGGAGGAGGAGGAGGAGGAGACATTTGGAGACACGTTTAGTGATGCCTCCAATGACCTTGAAACCATATGCATCGCCAAAATGGAAAGTCTGTTTAGAATCTGAGATCGACTAGGATGCAGGGAGACGAAGCCTGATGTTTTATAGAAATGAAAGTATAGATTGTACAACAAAGCCGACAGAGGCTACTGTTCGTTGGGCCTCTACGCTGAGCGAATACAATCTAATATGTAATCCAAATTCAGAGTGAGATTTAGATAATTGCATTTTTGTCGCAAATTCTGATGCAATTCGTATGCTTCTGCCTTAATCGATGTCCTGAATTAATTTAGCCGGAACTAAACCCTCTATGCCCATAAGCAGTTGGAATTACGTAAACTATATTCACACTTAATATTGTAAGTGCATGGTTTTTGTGCTTCGGTCATTCTGAGGACTCAAGAATTTAATCATTTATTGGTAGCTGTAAAACAGTGATTGTCAATTAGAAAACTAAGTTCGAGCGTCTTACGATCATCATTTAATTCGCGCAATATCAAGCTTATACACGGTACCAAAATGCAGCAAAGTAGAAGGTCCTTTTCAATTCCTCATCCATAATGTTGGCCCAAAGTCCATGTCCAACAGAGGTAAAGTTGAACACACCGATGTAGGGTTACTCCGCATTTTGTAGGAGAAAAGCAATAAAACATCGAAACACTGAATCTGAAAGCAATTTCGTCGAGATAACGTGGACCGTTTCAATGAACATATTCTATTTCATCCTGATGTTGCCTCGCTGTGTCTCCGTTGTAGTAGGCGATCGACACCTCGTCTCCTAGGAGAAACAGCTTGACAAAGTCTCCTCCGATACAGTTTGATGTGGCTCACGATTCCGCTCTGAGATGGGCATATGCCAGGGCCACTGTAAAAGCAACACTCGCTAAGAACTGCTAGTTTGATAATGTCACTTTCTCCCTTGCTCCTCCATGCCTCTACACACTGGATCATGTCTTGCAGGACTGATGCAGGAAAAATCAATTGTCAAATTTATTGTAGAAAGTGAAATTATCTTTCAAGTCAAATATGTGAATAAGACGTGCAATTCCAATTTATAAGGGCTTTATAACTGGTTTATTTTTTAAGCCCAGCCAGTCCTCTTGTCACCCTTAGGTCTAAAAGCAAACTGCTATGCTTATCCTGCCTAATTATCTGGTTGGATACGCGAATATGGATCCCCTGTATTACAGGTTGCCTTATTCCATATTCCAGAGGGCGGAGGTTGTAGTTAGGGCTACGGCACCTGTTGTGGTTATGCTTTTGTTTAGGAGAATTAGGACTAGGTTCCAAAAAGTATTTAGTAGTGAATGCATCCGCCAATTCACCAGTGTGCATTAAAAATTAATGTTGGCTACTTTGGCAACTTGTGTGAATCTTTCGTAGAAGGTAATGTTCTCACGAAATAACGAGGCCTATCTCACGAGCCTCCAGCCTTAAATGCAGCAAGTAAAACTGAGCAGTGAATAATGCAGAGATTTTGAACGTTAAGGAAAACTAACAACACAACGCGTCAGCGGATCACGCTAGCAAGGCGGGTTGTACAGATGTATCGTTTCTCGTCACATTCAAACAAGCAATCCGGTCAATGAAAATGGGACTAAATTGTAAAAGGTAAATTATTCCGATACTTCAACACAAATCTGTCTCCCTAGTTAATTTTGCTTGCGACGCACACAACAGAACAGATAATCGTCAAGATGCTGACGTTGAAAGTATCAAAATTAGCAACAATGGAAACCGATAAGTTTCCTTCGGCTTAAGCGAGTAACTTGGCCATTTGTACGGGAAAAATGAGGGACTCACACTTAATTGGCATGTCACTCCTAGATTAAACACTAAATATCATGTGATATGCAACTAACATATTACGTGATACATCTTGCAAAAGGTGGGTGCACGGGAAAGGAGAGAGCAGACAGATTGTTTTCGGCAAATTTAAATACTCGGAAGTATATTTGAACGCAGAACTGAACTCGTGCACCTGCAAAGCTTCTGTTGCTGCATAAGCATACGTCGGGACCCGATCGCATACTCATCGTACTGACCGAAAATTACATTATACCCTAACATGGCAGATTTCAGGGCTGTCAACTTAGGTGCCGAGTAAAAATGCCGTTATTTCTGAGTTCACACTGAGAACTGTGTTTGGAGTGCGTTTTTAAAGTCTTCAAAATTGCAAAAAAGCAGATGCGAGTATCTACTTTTGTCATCCGAATAAAGCCCTTCTGCCAGCAATCGTGTCTCCTTCTTCATGACTGCTTCCTGGGACACGCCTCTTCGGTTCTGTTAGCTTTGAAAGATTTTTGGAAAGATTATACACAGGGGTTCTGCTAATTCTTCAGCTACTTGACCTAGCAGTTCACCTCAGATTTCATCAGGTTCAGGTGTCTTGGACAGATCCGGCTAATTTAACTCTGCATAAACTAGCTGCCGTGTAAATAATCATGTGTATGTAAGTTAGTATTTGACGAGCTCTGGCAGTGAACAGAACTGGAGCAGTGGTTCGGCGGTGTAGAGATTTGGAAATAGCCTGAGAGAAACTGGCTTTTCGAAAGCCATCGCTCACAATTTGGTCATTTTTAGCATTTAAATCCCCGGATGGTCATGATTCAGAGAGAATAGCACTACAGACACACGACTGTCTAAGAGAGGATAGGTGGCAGCATCAACTGAGCCATGGTTACAATTGCCGAACCTCTGGCTTGGCTTGGCTTGGGTTATACGGACTGACAAACACGGGATGCACAATACGCGCGTAAACGGCGGTCGAACAAGCCTTTCGTCTTCCGAGATGCCTTCGGCCATTGTGTGAAAACCTGGGGTGTCGTGACCCTCGTCAGGTCCACGAAGGTAAGTCTGTCGTGACACTTGTCGAAACAACCAACCATAAACAAACCTCCTCTTCATCCCCTCCGTCCCACCGCCACAGATTGCTGCGGGGATAATTCGCGGAATAAGTTTTCCCGGATTGGCAGCATCTTCGATCCCACTTCCGATTACGTGCCATAATGATATGATGGACAAGAAGGAGTAATTCACACACACCACGATGGATGGTGATTGGTTGGTTTAGAAAGACGCTGTCTGCACGGGAGTCAAGGTGGGCCTGCCACAGGAGAAGAAAAATCAGACTCTTTGAACGACTTGACTGCAAACTGGCTCACGCCGAGCACTTTATCAACTCTATTCGACCGCTAACCACTATAAAAACAAATAGGTCCCACAATTTCATTCGTGCCCACCGCATAACTGTGTAAGCACGCGCTTCAGGCTGCCGGAGTGAGCATTATCAGCGCAGCAATCTGTGGCTGTGGGACCGAGGGGATAGAGACGAGGTTTGTTTTTGATTGCTTTGAGAACTGTCAGGACAGACTTACCTACCCCTCTACTACCTTCGTTAACCTGACCACCGCCTATGGTACGAGGATCGTGGTGGATATTGTGTTAATCCCCTTCTTGCTTTAGATGCCACAATATTCGTTGAATTCACCGACACCTTAGTAGATGCGTAGTGAGGAATCGCGGGGGAGGTCTCATCCCTCGCAAGTGGATGCATGTTTTTTTGGGATAACTGCGCACAGGCCGACAAGAAACTAATGTTGAACCAGGCGCATGAAAACGACAGGCTCTATTCATTCCTTTTGAGTAAGTCAGATGATCATTATTTCTGCTAGTTTTCAATGCTGACCTCTTTTATTAGAGCATTAGAATACAACAATTGAACATAACTGTCAGTGGAAAATCGAGTTACCTTAATATCTCCTGCCTACATTCCATTCCCTCTGTTGCAACAGTCATCGTTTCTATGGAAAAGTGGTTTGTGAGTCAGTTCAAAGTATTATGGAGCAATGCGATGTGCGTTTCGAATGACTGCCTCGTCAGGGCGCCGCAGCATACCCGATTTTCTAGAAAAAAGGCCCTGAATAAACTACATTGAGGAACCATATTTTGGTTCTCGTTTTTCTGCGGAAACATTTTTAATGCAGTCCGTTTCTAATGGTGATATGACTAGCCGTAAATAATGCCATATATTGAAATGATCATGAGTTACATACTAAATGATAGGGGCCCGACGATTTATCATTCACGTGACTTCCAACATCTTCTTTTCGAGCTGGCAGATGTTCGGGGCGATATTTTCTGCCGGATAAGCATACGATCACGACTTTGAGACGTCGGCCATCCGCGGTTGTGTTCGTGGTGGTCGAATGGGCCGCTCCTGGAATAGGGATATTCTGTTACGTCCGCGGATATGAGGGGTGACGCAACCCCTTGACAATGTTTGCTACCACCGGACAGAGTCCTAACTTATGATTATGCCTCTGTGCTGGGTACTGCTCGTAGGGTGAAAGGAGGCTTTTACTTGTGCTTATGAACAATTTACCCATAATTTAGATCCAGTATTTTCGTGATCGCGAGTCTGTACTTGCTCAATGCTCATTGGTCCCAAGAATTTGCTCGCTGGCCTATAAAACTGCTGGTCGAAGATTAATTCAGCAGGACATCCCGGACTGAAGTTTTCTATTTTCGACGAAATGAATTCCGTTAAGTTTGATCAGACAAACAGGAACATATTTGTCTGATATTATGCACCCCGTTAACAAATTAAGACTTATATTTATCTGCTCTTAGCACTTCTGTAAATGAAAAATATTGTCAATCCTGTTCTGAGGTATATTCATATGAGAGGCAGGATATAAATATTCAGACCTTAAGTGCCAAAGAAGTCACTTGTACAGCGTAAGCTTTCTGATGAGCATTGCCTCTGCTCAACACCCATCAATAAATTGCTATATCTAAAGTGTTCCATTTCCCCACTGAAGATTAGTGTCCATAATAAAAGGGCTAATTTAATCCAGGAATAATGGTAGAAAGATCGATTTCTTAGAAGTTTCTGGGGGAATTGGCTCTGCAATTCTATTTCATGTGTGGAGGTGTGAATTACTACTTTACCAAGGGTTGGTATATCTTGTTTATTCGGTAAACTCTACGAGTGCTTTTGCTTGTTATGTTTAAAAGCTAACTGCTGCCATACCACGAACATGTATATGTAGTCATTCTTCGCC